AATGCATCATGTTTTTTAAACTGAAGTTATGCTTTTATCCTGTTCAGAATGCCCTCTTGTAAATGATGGCTTCTGTGTTCTTCACCTATAACAGCCCCCCTTTCCCATAAAGCCATCAGGTCTACCTGTAATCGGTTGTCTCAGGACATATACACAATGCTATAGTGCCTGGCCACCACACCTGGGCAGGCGCGAACTGAGCACAGCAAACAGATACTTGTGTTTGGTAGACAGGTAGAGTAGTTCAATGACAGTCTAGGTACAAGGCAAGCAAGGTTCAGAATAGTCAGGGTCAGATCTGTAGTCAAAAGGCAGGCAAAGTCCAGAGAATAGTCGATACTTGATCTAAGGTCATCAATGAGGGAATCCAGACAGCACAGCAGGACAGACAGACAGGGAGCTTGAGCATGTGTAGACAGCGCTATCACAAGCATGAGACTGCAGGCTTGGCTGCCTTAAATAAGGGTTGGTCTCCACACAGAGACTGGCCACATCAATCACTTTGCAGGTGGACAGACAGGCAGGGAGAGTGCATCATAGCAAAAACCAAGATGCTGGAACCAGCAGATATAATGGAGAAGGAGCGCTACATGCTCCTGAAAACTGCTAGGCATTAGGGTTGATTTACTAAACTGAAGAGTGCAAAATCTAGTGCAGCTGTGTATGGTAACCAATCAGCTTCTAACTTCAGCTTGTTCAATTAAGCTTTGACAATGAAATCTGGAAGCTGATTTTTAGTAAATCAAGCCCATTGCATTTGAAGCAGTTATGCCTGAACAACGTGGTACAGACACAAAATGTTAGAGTGCAGTTCCTCCTGGTAGTATTCAAATACAAATAACTATATTAAACAAAACTGCCAATAAAAAATAAGTATTTAGATTTTTAATCATTTCTGAGAGTTTTTGTTTATAGATATGTTTTAAGTCATTCCTTACCTGAGGGTCCACCCTAATTTAGTAAAGACATACTGTATGTAGGAAGTTAAGTATATAGAGTTAAAATAGCACAATAATACAATATGTGTTCTAAGGTGTATCTTTTCTATAACAAAAGCAGACAAATCCTTAAATATTGGGTGTATTCACCGATATATTATCTAACTCGTATATACATAAAGTATAATATTTTCCAAAATTGCATAAATATCTTTCTTTATAGGTAATGATACCTTTTTTTTTAAGGATAAAATGTATTGGGGTGCAAGTTTTCCTCATTTTATAAACCTTCTTTGTGGACTGCTATTTTATTATTTGTGCAATTGTATTTTCAGTATTTGGCTTCAATATGAAATGTATACTGTATCTATGCATACATATGTTTTCTTGCCACTCAAGAATATGTTTAATACCATAAGTGTGTTGTATTTTATTAATAGCTGAAATTCACAATTAATGGCATACTGGCATGGTTAAATTATAGAGCTAGTACAAGTAAATTCCAAAAGTCGAAACATTACCTTTCAATGACAATGTTGGTACCTACAAAAGTATCTCAGTTGCAGTCCCTATAGCAATAATGAGCTTATGCCCGCTCTACTATTTCATGTGTCTGTGGTCTGTGCTAACGGCAGGATTTTACTATTATCCATTTCCCCTCTGGGGAGATCCTCTTTACTGTGAACAATACAAAGGGTCCCTGGCACACTTAAGCTGGCCATAGATGAATCAAAATTCAGCTGGTTCAGCGGGGACTGTCCAAACTTTGACCCATCTATGGCCATTTCCGCTTGACAGAAGTTGATCTAACAATTGACTTCTGTCTAAGGGGACTGTTGGAAAACTTTCCTTTGATCAGCTTCTGCAGTGATGATCAGTGTATTCTGACAGGAGAAGTCTCTGCTTTCAGAACACAATAGTTCCACAGGAAGAATTCCTCCATACAGGTCACTTGTGAGGGAATGAATCATCTATGGCCAGCCTTACAAGCTAGCCAGCAAAAATTCTAACCAATCTTTTTCATTTACACAGGTTAAAAAAACAGGTTTTTGTTGCATACATCTGCAGCTAGATGAGGAAGCTACAATACCGTGTCAAAGAAACTCTGATATGTGGTCCCTACTTCTAAAATATCTATGTCCCAACTATGGAACATACTGTATATAGCAATGCACAGATGGCAGGTTCACTTGGAGTAGTTGAAACAGATTGGTTAGGTTTTTTTTTGCTGGCTAGCTTGGAAGTGTGCTATGGACCTTTTGTATTGGTGTATGCATTGTTCTGCCCATGTGAACCTTTCCTTTTTTTTGTTTCAAACAGATCAGAACAGCTGCCATCATTGCTTATTCACTTTGAGCCTACTCCCCCCCCATATCACAGGGACACAAACAACAATAAAAGCATGAAAATGGATTAGAACCTTAATCAAGATATTACTACTGTGTCATCACTTTTTATAATGACTTCTCTTTCTCCCCATTTTCCCTTCACCATTCTATCTAAGCACAAGAACAAAAATCTGGGCTGAAAGGAGGAGGTTTATATAAAGTACACCAATGCCAAATATCTTGTTAATGAGATTTAAACGTCTGCATACAGAACCCTTGTTAAAAATAACTAACTCTCTATTTGAATGCCTGTATTATCATCAATAACTACATTAATTTTTAGCTACTTATTTTGCAGATTTTTAATCTATCTTTATGAAATTCATACCATTAGCACATCCAGTAGAGAAGTGAGCAATCTCTCCCCAATTGCCAATGGTGATCTACATGTTAATGCTAATGCACAAAAACAATGAGAAATCGCAGGCTGAACTGTCCATCAAAGACAAGTTGGCAGGGAGGTGGTAATTTGAGTTGTGTTTAGTCTTGGTGGGGAGCATGCATGCTGGAGTTGCCCCATAGAGGCTTGGCTAGTGATAGGAGATTCTTGGCTGGTGGGAAGAAACTGTCCACAAAATTAATGTATACACTAGACTAGGGATCTCCAAACTATGTCCCTTCAGATGTTGAGGAACTGCAAGGCCTCATGGGACTGCCACAGGCAAGACTCCCAGATTCACAGGCATGATGGGACTTGTAGTACATCAATAGCTGGAGGGCCATAGTTTGGAGACCCCTGCACTAGAGAGTAGCTGAAACTGACCCAAATACCAAAAGTCTGAACTTGCCTTTAAGCACAATATGATATTATAGTTATATCCAAGAAATTGACTTGTTGAAATCATAGTGTTTTTTTTCAAATTAAAGTATTGATTTTTTGCCATGAATAAAAACTCCTATTCCCATAACTCTGCATTTGCAGCGCAGATCAGATGATTTCTGACTACCAATCATTAGTGCAGTAGTGAGAAAAGGATCAAGAAGACTGACATGATGTAAGCAACTTTAACTGTAAACTACACATTGAAAGAATATGGTAGCAATCGTAGATAAGATTGTTTAGATTACATAAATCTCTTTGACAAATGTATCTAAGAAAAACTGGAAAAAGACTACAGTTCTCTTTTAGTCCTCATGCACACTTGACGTTTTTACAGCTGCTGTTTTTGGCTTTTGACATTTTTTTCTACAGCTAGTAACCGCCCCAGCATGTTATCCTATGTCTCCATGCACACATAGACTGTAATCAAGTTTTTTGGCTGGGACGTTTTTGGCTGGAAAAAAATCCCAGAACTAGTGGGTTTCCAGAGGAGTTTTTCAGCTGTAAAAACGCTCTAACACTGAAAAATGCTTAAAAACGCAGCAAAACGTGGTAAAACGCCACAAAATGGCATTTTTGGACTTTTTTTACCAAAAAAATAATTTTTTTGGTAAAAAAAATCTCTAAAAAACACTAATCGCGGCTAAACACTAATGCAAAAATGCTAAAAAAAGCTGAAAAACTCACATTGTTAACGTGACTTTGCACAGCTAATGTTACCAGCATTATCAAAACGTCCAGTGTGCATGAGGTCTCAAGAATGGACCACCGAAAAACATATGAACCACTTATTAACATGGAGATTTGAACACATGGTGCCCTTATTGCAACAAATTTCAGAGGAACCATCCATACCTACCTGATCTGTGTTTAACTGGCTTGCCCTATACCTATTGAAAAAAATACCTTATGGCGCTGCTCCAAGCTGTGGATGGAAGGAAAGTGAGAAGAGGGGAGCATAAGTCTGAGCGATTCCAGTGGCAGCCAATACAATACAAGTGAAGGGATGGATGCTGATCAATTGACCCCAGGAGTCTAATGTCAAGGAATGTTAAAGAATGGCCTCAGCCGCCGTTCTGGCCATGTCCTCTGACACATTTTGCCCCGCCCTCTGGGGCTTGGTCACAAAGGTCTATACCTGTTATGCCCTATACCTGTTATGCCCGGCATCAGTATTTGGGAGGACCTCACTCTATCATTTGTTATTTTGCATTGGGACTCTGATTGGCCAAGTCCTCCTGTCTGTGTGTGGCCCGCCTCCATGACCCTAGGCCAGCGTGCAGTCTTACCTCTTGGACAGCATGATGCTGGTCTCCACTACTTTGTCTATAATGTGCAGCGCAAATTTCCCCTATCCCTCAGATTAGTGCCTACCAAACTGCCTCCATTTTTCTCCATGTCAGCGTGTATGTAAAAATTTCACCATGGCTAATATTTTGGTCATTGTTTAGCACAACTACTGTACATTTTTCCTTTGTTGTACAACAGAAAGCCAATTCCTTTATCTTCACTGTGTAGTAGAACTGTTTGCAGAACTATTATTTTATTTCACCCCCGGCCAATTAATATCTATTTTCTTATGGCTCTACGTATGTTGTGTCTGGCCTTTGGTCACCGTTTTTCACTTGGGACTTCTGGTCTGCTTTGAAAAGTATTGCCATAGACTTTAGGACACATCTGCCTTAATGCAAATCCCTGCATCTCAACTGAGTTCCATGACAGGGTCCTGGGATTTTCCTGTTTCATGAATGCACCCAGTTCTTTTAGTGCGGGAGCTGGTGCAACCTTATGCTGCTTTGTCTGGGTCTGCACAGAGCTTTGTTTTAGTCATGTCCAGGGGCGGACTGACAACTCATGGGGCCGCCGGGCAATTGGGGATCATGGGGCCCCTGTGTCCTTGCCCAAACTCAAAAAAGCCTATGAAAAAGGTACCAGGGGCATCTCATGGGGCCCCCTACTGACCCCGGGCCCTCGGGCAGTGCCCAAGTTTCCAAATGGTCAGTCCGCCCCTGGTCATGTCCTCTGTAAGAGGCTCCAATATGTGGTGGAAGGATTGTGTGGGCTAAATCCTGTGTATGAATGAATCATCAACAGAAGGATTTCAGAAGACTGGAGCTCTGAGCCTTGGGTCCTACACCATGAACAATTGACCATGCCTTCAACTCTATCCCCATGCAACCAATTCTTGGATAACGGTTCTGCAATATTTTGTATGGTATGAAACATACAGGCTTATCATACCAACAATGGTATTTGTATGCGTTTATGATTTCGGAGTGTTTCATGTCAAGCTTCAGCTGTCAAAGTACAAATATAAAGATACAAGGCACATCATGATACAGTATGTACTGTAAATACCATACAAGGCAACTGTGACTTTTGACTGGAAGTGTAGTCATTTGAACCTTTTTGAACCTTTTTATCAGGCTTTACCAGCAACCATTGGACAAGTATTCATCATCGTTTTATCAGCTAGCAGATACTTCTCCATCATTATAACCTTTCATGCTGCTATTCCTGATACCAATAATCTTAGAGAAGGTACTGCACTGCCTAGCAACATGATGGCTCTATAAGGTCTCCAACAACCTTTAACTGACTGTTAACCACTTCATGTCTGGAAACTTTTACCCCATTCCTGTCCAGGCAAATTTTCAGCTTTCAGTGCTGTCACACTTTGAATGACATTTTTGCGGTCATGCAACAGTGTACCCATATGAATTTTTTTACATTTTTTTGAGACAGATAAAACTTTATTTTGGTGATATTTATTCACCACTGGGATTTTTATTTTTTTTGCTATATAAATGAAAAAGTCCAAAAATGTTGTTTTTCTTATAAAATTTTGCAAATAAGTAACCTAGTAAGTAACCTAATAAGTTACTAATAAGTAAAATGTATTCAGTTATCTTTTTAGTAAAAAAAATAACCCAAATGAGTTTATAACCAAAAATTATAATTTTTCAAAAAAATTTTTTTACATTTTTATTTTATTTATTTTATATTATTATTTATGTTTTTTTTTTAACATACTGTCACCCTAGCAGTACAGTGTCACTATAGTGACACTGTACTACTTGTGGGGGGTGATGAAGATTTTTTTTTTTACACTGATTGCTTTTCACCCATAAAGGCTCTAAAAGCAATAATTTCTCCTTCTCTCTGGTGCATTCTTGCAGCCATTGAGAAATACTGTGTGAATTGTGATTAGTCACAGCGTGTCACATGGTACAAGGCTGTTGTGAATAGCCTTGGACCATGTGATCTCTGTGATCATTCACAGATTTCACACGTAGCAAGCAATGATGTCAGAAGTGATATCTTGCTTGCACCTATTCATGTGATCACTGATTGGCCAATTTGTGCTTCAATTGGTTGTCCAAAGTATAAAGCCCTCTGGAGCAGCCAATACTGCGCCCTGTGCCATCAGATCAAGCAGATGTTTGTAAAAACTGACTCCAAATGATAATGTAGAGGCCTCCCTGGACACTTTTGAAATGAATGCACAGGAAGGGGATTTGCCAAAAAAAGTAGTTGGTCAGTACTATACCTTCTTTTCTATCTGATGAGCCCCAAAAAGCTCATTGTGATTTGGATTCTTCTGATGCCTAAGCTCAAAGCCATGGTTAAGCTGCTACGTTCCTAGCCAAAAACTACTGAAAGCCAAGACTATTGGGAATAGAGCAGAGTGTGGAAAGAGAAGTTAAGGACTAACGTTTGTGATTCCTAGCAGATACTTAGCAAACGTGGCTGAGCCATGAAGATTATCACTCTGCCGATCAGCTCATGGAGATGGTGGAATGTTACATTATGCTACTATGTTCTTCACAGCCACAGGGCATGCCCAGATCTAGAAAGTAAGATTTCCAGTGGTGCCTGGTGAGAATTCCCTGAAGGGAAGAGGTTTTTGAAATGGTGCTGCCAAACTATCTAGGAAGGGCCTCACCTAATAAAGACTGCAATGTAAACTTTGTTTTCTATATGAATGTCAATTAATAAAGTGATTGGAAACCCTCACCTTGTAAAACAACCCATTCAGTTTAAAACAGACATAAAAGGTAAAACATTTGTGTATAGATGTAAAAAAGTATTATAAATACCCTTTTTTCCTTTTCTTTTATACGTGATCACATTCCCTCTATTTTCAGCTGAATAAGAGCTAGGGGAGGAGAAACAGCAATACACTGAACTTAAAGTACATTGAACTTACAGTACAGTACAGTGAAAAGCTGTGCAAAGGGTGGGGGGGCATGTCAGCACAAGTCTGATGATTGGAGGAGAGCAGGCTGGCTTCCCAGCACAGCTAGAGAACTGAACACAGTGTGTTCTCTGTCTTAGTGTGGTCGGTGTTGGAGAAGAGAGCTGAGGGACTGGCAGGAACACCAGGATTTCACACAAAGGAAGAAATACAAAGAGAATAGGACACTTTTTCATACAAGTACATGGTACATCAGGCAATATCACTGCTATAGGCAAGCATTTGACTGAATGAAATCAATTCAGTCAGTGTTTTTTGTTGTGATTAGCTGTGATTGGCCACAGCTAATCACATGACACAGATGGGCTGTGATTGGCCCAGTCTGTACCATGTGAATACGGTGACCATTCACAGCTCACCATTCATGGCAATTGTTTACAATTGCCATGTGACCTGGTGTGATTGGTCACAGTGGTCACATGTTACAGCAACGGGCCGGTACACAGATCGGTTGTGTCCATCGGACAGATCTCACCACAGCACAGCCTCGCAGGTGCGTGCCAGGCGGCAATATAGGAGAACCCAGATTGATGAAAGTCCCACTCGGCCATCATTTTGTTTTTGGCCGGGCGGTAAATGGTTAAGCTGAAATTTAGCTAAACTATTTTTTTTACCTGTAATGAAGTATGTCCCATGTTGTACAGGCTGCTGGATTGTGTACAATTCTTCTATGCAGTAATGATACGTCATTTTCCTGACTCTGAATTTCCAGCACTGAGGTAATTAATAGTTTTGGGGTCTTGGGATAAACTCATCAGAAGAAGCACTCGATAGGGACTCACACTGTTGTTCTTCTATTCTACTCCAGTTTTGTTTATAAATACAAACATTGTCGCAGATTCCTACCTGTTTCTGCTCTGAAGAAAAACGTGCAGTTCTCTAATGAGAAAACTTGCAAGATCTGCATACCTTTAGAAGTGATTAACCTTTGGAAGCATCTCTCCAAAAATTAAATTTCTATTGCATGGAATGCCTAAAATATGACTTGTATCTTAGTGCAGACTTCTGGGAAAATCAGTCAGTCAATCACACAAGCATTTCAGGAGGTGTTCTGTACACCAAATGTATACAGAACACCTCCAGGTTACCATAGTGCAATAAAAAGGAAAGGTAATTTTATATAACAATAAATTACAACTAGGTTTGTGTAGCAATTGTATATGCTATATATATTTTTTTTCAACTGTTATATTTTTCAACAGGGAATGGCACGCAAAACAAATCAAGTCACTAAAGCTGTAGGCAAAAAAAAATTAGCTAAAGTTAAATGAAAAGTAAAATGTACTTCTGTAAATAGTCAACAATTGCATAAATCCCACCCCACTAGACACAAATTCAGTCAACGTATGCATCTACTAGACTTTGGAGTTTTTCTGTAGATCATCTGCCTATAGTTATTTCTGGTACCTCCTTTCAACCTCTGGAGGTGGTATCAATCATTTCCTTTATTGGACAATTGAACCTTAAATGTGTGCAGAAGATTAATGTATTTTCTGTTAAGGATCTCTTAAAATAATGCCTATAAGTAATTTTCATTTGGGACTTGCCATTATTACCAATAAATCCTCTACTTTTTACCGAATCCTCTAGATTTTATCATCATGCCTTGGAAGTATTCAAATACTTCCACAAATCGAGCAGTCTGTTCATCTTAACTAGGTGTAGAAATAAGTGTAACAGAACGAGCTCCCTTATCTTGTATCTTGGAATACCTTTTACCAAAGTCCTGTTTCCATCCCAGGTACAAAGAGGTGGACACCTATGGACCAGGTCTGTAGAGCAGCCATTATGTCCTATCTACATACTGTAGGTTTTTAGGACACTAAGAGATAAACATTTCTAGTTAGGGCAGTTCTTTAGCCATACGGTACCCTAGCAGGGACCAGATGAAATTCAATCCATGTGCGGCTGTACCTGTTCAATAGAAGTCAACCATTATCTCGACTTTTGTCGAATGGGCTTGTTGAAACATTTCTAGTGATCGGCTGGTTGCCATCATTAATCAGTCCTATCAGTGGGAAAAATTCCTCTATCCACCTTGCTTGGATAAAGGAATGTTTGTTTTCATCTATGGCTAGTTTTAACTACCTGGTATTTCTGTTTCACGGAATAATCTGGGAAAATCTGTAGTTTCTTCACTTATTTGTTATCTACTGGATCTTCTATTGCTGTGTAAGGTCTACTAGGTCCTTTTGCTTTGAAAATTTTCAGGAAATTGGTGTTTCCTGTTGTGAGTGAAGGTCATCATTCATATAGTTGACTTCTAAGATTCTTGTAAACGGAGATACCAGATACTGAACTTCACTTTTAATGCATTTGTTTATAATTATTTATTTTGTAATAGATGCTGGCAGTTGCTAATATCTGTATAGCTGTAGGTCAGTATTTAAAAAATATACAGCATGACCACCATTCGTACAAAATACCAGTTAAACACAAATAATTATTTAAATGGTCCAAATTTTACAACAAATTTTATCATTTTAATTAGGTTTTAAATTTGTCCCAAACTAGCAAACACTGATAAAGGTCTATAATGAGAGTAGATAAAATGGATATTATTTGATTATTCTAATCTGTTCCTTACAATACTACATATATACCTTTAGGACATGTGAGAACTCAATTGAAGCTCTGCTAGTTTTTCATTTAGCACATTAGATTTCTATCTGACAAATACACATAAATATGAATTTATACAATTTTATTTATATGGCAGGTAAAACAGTTACATTGGTATGCTTAATCATCATGTTCTAATTTATTTGCAATATACATTGCTTACATATTGTCAAGTTTTTCATATTTTGTAACATATTTTAGCAAATTCAGAGTAGCTTTTTACACTATAGTACCCTTAGGACATGATATCGTACATTTACAATTTATTTTATACATAATTTGTACTATCCATTTCTATAAATATGTACATTATGGTGACAGAACAACTTGAACAGTGTTGGATAGTATTTTTTTACAACAACAACATTTACACCATATTGAGCTGTTCATGGATCTATACCATGTTTAAAGTAGGACTTATTTACATTAAAATATTTATTTTTACAGTTTCAAAATGTATATATACTATACTTGGTATAGTAAAAAATCTTGGACAGTGATATTGTAATTTATGGCAAAGAATCAAATGAGCTTTGGGTTCGGACCAAAGTTGAACAAATATCGAACTTTGTCTGTTTGGCAAAAAATCAAACTTAATGAGGTTTTTGCACACCCAAAAAGCAAAACCTCTGATTGCAGCAGGCAGTTAAACACTGCTAAATGTGACAGCATTCATCTAAGCCTGGCTGTTAGGAGACGAGCGGCTACTAGCTTCCAAAAAACCAGTGACACATCCCTACCCAACCATTAAGTTGGGAATTTGCAGTTGACAGCTGAATATAAACAAAAGAAGGGGAATGGTGGCTGACATCAGTGGCCAAATATGCTCATGGCCATAATGGGTCAACATCCATGGCCATATTTGGTCAACTGCCATGGCCATATTTTGTGAATTACATTAACCATTGACATATTTGTTGAATGGCATCAGCCACCAACCCCACCCTTTTGTTTATAAACCAGCTGTCAGGTGCACATCTGCCATTTGGCAAGGAGTAGAGAAGGGAAAGGACATGCATCTCTGAGCAACATGATTGGTGATGGATTTACTGGTCTAAGTGTGTGTTGTGTGTTTATTTACCGTTTACAGTTTTCTGTTGAATGAGTGGGGATTCGGGGGGGATTTCTGGACCCTCATTATTATAGGGGGCTTCCAGATTCTGATAAGTCCACTGCCTACAGATCCTCACAAATATCAGATCAGGGTTGTGGCAAAGCAGCCCTTGTCCTCATGAACATAGAGGCAAGGTGGTGTGTACCCTCCCCATGTTGAGTGCATGTGCCCTGGTATGGTTCAGAAAGAATGGGGCGGGTATGCTTGTTCCACTTTTCCTGACCTGCCAGTCTGCATGCTTAGATAAGGAACTGGTGCGAATTTTTGGAAGGACTTCATATCATTTTTAATTTTTTTTTGAGTGGGGCATGAATTTTGGAGGAACTCATGCAGTTATTTTTTTTGCATAGGTTTTCCCATTTAAATTTACAACATACCCTTATCAAGATAAGGTTTTTGGTATAAATTTTGGGGAGACCCCACAATATTTTTAGGCTTTTTTGTCAAAAGGTCCCCCCAAAATACATACTCGATCCTTAAGAGTCTCACCTCAACGACAACAACCTCCTCAATCCCGTACAGTCTGGCTTCCGTCCCCTACACTCCACCAAAACTGCCTTACTCAAACTCTCCAACGACCTGCTAACCGCCAAAGCTAATGGCCGCTATTCAGTGCTCCTACTCCTTGACCTCTCTGCGGCCTTCGACACAGTCGACCACCCCCTCCTCCTCAAAAAACTACACTCCCTCGGCCTCAGAGATTCTGCTCTCTCCTGGCTCTCATCCTACCTGTCACAACGCTCTTTCAGCGTTACCTATAATGCTACCACCTCCCCCTCACTCCCCCTCTCTGTTGGGGTCCCTCAAGGCTCTGTCCTCAGGCCCCTTCTCTTCTCCATCTACACCTCCTCCCTTGGCCAACTCATACACTCTCATGGCTTCAACTACCACCTCTATGCCGACGACACACAAATCTATCTCTCAACCCCCCACCTCACCCCCTCGGTCTCCACCCGAATCACACACCTGCTGAGCGACATATCAGACTGGATGTCGCTCCACTTCCTTAAACTTAACCTCTCCAAAACTGAGTTTCTTGTCTTCCCCCCAGCCCGGACACCACCCCCCATTGACTTCTCCGTCACATCCAACAACGCCACCATCAAACCCGCCCCGCAGGCCAGAGTACTTGGTGTCATTCTGGACTCCAACCTATCCTTCCAGCCCCAAGTCCAATCTTTAACAAACTCGTCGTGCAGACTCCACCTCCGCAACATCGCCAAAATACGCACGTTCCTAACCCCGAGAAACCACTAAACAGCTCATCCACTCCCTCATCATATCACAACTACTGCAACTCCCTCCTCACTGGCCTGCCTCGCCGCTGGCTATCCCCGCTTCAGTCGATCCTGAATACGGCTGCCAGACTCATTCACCTTTCCAACCACTCCATTTCCGCCACCCCCCTCTGCCAATCCCTCCACTGGCTTCCGATTGCGCAACGGATCAAATTCAAAATCCTAACACTGACATACAAAGCTGTCCACCATACTGCCCCGTACTACATCACTGACCTAATATCCAAGTACCGCCCAGCATGCACACTCCGCTCCTCACAAGACCTCCTTCTCTCTAGTTCCCTGGTCTCCTCCTCCCATGCCCGCCTCCAGGACTTCTCCAGGGTGTCACCCATCCTCTGGAACTCCCTGCCCCAACCCATCAGATTATCACCTACTCACCTCTCTTTTAGACGCACCCTGAAAACCCATCTCTTCAGGGAAGCCTACCCCACCCCCTGCTAACTTTCCGACCTCCTCCACTCTTCCTACCACTCCATTCCCCACATCTCTTCCTGTGCCAACATCTCCTCCCTCCTAGATTGTAAGCTCGAAAGAGCAGGGCCCTCGATCCCCTCATGTTTTGCATTGTATTGGTATTGTTCTGTCACATGTTCTGTCCCCCTTTGTAATGTACAGTGCTGAGCAAACCATTGGCGCTTTATAAATACTGTATAATAATAATAATATGTATGTTGGGGGAATCCCAAAGCCATTTTTATCAAAGAAAACCAGCTGAGAGGGAACCAGGTTGGCAGGAGTGCTCCTTCACAGGCAAGTTTAAGGCATTCCAAAAGCATTTTGTTTTACAAAATTGGGTATTTTTCATGTCTCACTTTAACATTATTAAAATCTTTTGCATTTTGCATTGGGACATTGCAGTGCTCAGCCCCCCAGTGCCACTTGTATGATAAGTGATTGGCTATTAGTCATGAAAGTTGTCAGACTTGATTTTAAAGATTCAGTTCCCTTAGACTTCAGTGGGGTTCAGATTAACATTCAGAACTTGTGAGTTGTTCTGCGAATGTTTTTGGAACTGAACCCAGGAATGATCGTCTCATCCCTAATCCACATCTGACATGTAGTTACATCTGGCATTGGTGAAGTCTATAGTGATGAGGGTAGCTAAGGATTAACAATTGTTACAAGCTTTTTGTAAAAATATTTTTGGATAGATTAAGACATGTAAATGTCTTATATGCATATAAAGTGAAAGCTCACATGAGTCTTAGCTAAGACATACAGCTTTATATTGTGTACTTTGTTAATGCAGTGACAATAATATCTAGGCCTGCAGGCTGTCATTTACCTCTAGAATAAGAAGACATTGTCATATGCACCCAGTTAAGGGCTACTGTTGCAGTTTCCTGGTGAAGAAAAACGGCAGGGAGGTTCAAGACTGTCCCCACCAGAGGGTATTGGCTCATTTCTCACAGTTGAGGACAGTGAATATCGTTAATACAATGTATATACACAATATAAAGGCAGGTTTTTAGACAGTTGAATAGCTTACATAATTATGTGTCATATCAGGCCCTAGGCTTATCTTATACAGTGCTTATATAAAAACTTAGTCACAAAGACATCTGCAGTTTGTTCAGACTTATCTAGATATATAAGGTCACTGGAGGCAATTACTATAGTGCTTTTACTGTGATAATTTCTTCCTGCTTGACAGATAACTAACTGATAAAGCTTGTGTAGTGGCAATGCTTAGAAAAAATTGCTACTGCTGTTGTGGGATATTTTAGCCAACTTCATCTTAACTTTACGTGGAAAAACTGCCATTGCTGACTTCCTCCTGAATATACTAGTTACCCTACGTTTATGCTGACCATTTGTCCTCAATACTTTTAAACATTGCCGCAGAACAAGTATTTTCATCAATTTGATATACTAATTTGCATACTTGTTAAACTTGGCTTTAGGTATTGAAAGTGGACTTTGTTGAAAGATACAAAGACCACTAATTAAATTCAGCCCCCAACGCAAATCACTGCAAGATAGCTTACATAAAAAAAAACCTGTGGCAAAAAGTTGGAAAACATACTTTTCATATTGCAGAAGGTTATGTAACTATCCTTCTGTTGAGATCCTGGGAATGCTAAGGATCCAAAATCCCACCAAAAGATACTACAGCACAATGCAGGAGCAACCTATCGCAAGATTTAGGATCCTTGAGGTTTCCAGTATCTTACCAGAAGGATTGTAAAATCACTTTCAATTAGCTGACACAGGTGGGAGCTCATACAGTTATTTAAGTTGTGAGAACAAGGCCTGATATAATAAGTAGTCCTCACCATTTAGTGCAAAGTCCACTTGAAGTCTGAAGTTTAGCATGGGAGACAGGCAACCAACATTTTCAGAATGAGAAATCAGCAATGGCAGCCTCCATGTTTATCTTAGGAAAGGTTTCCTTTAAAACTTTTTTTTATTCTGGATACAGCAAGGAAGGGTTATAAAAGCTGTCAGATTTTTTTTTTCTCCATTTGTATCCCATTACAGAGATTTCCCTTCACTTCCTGTCCCATTGCTAAACAGAAAGTGATAGGAAATCCCACAAATTAAGGGAATTCTCCTTTCTGGAGACAATCCAAAATTTGGGATTTTCCCTTACTTTCACTGATAATGGCAAACAGGACAAACAGAGAGGATGAATCTCCTTAATGGCAATACAGACAGCACTAAAACCATACCAAAACTCTATCCAAAAAAAAAGCTTTGCCTTCAGTTATACTTTAACTGACCTGTGTAATACTGTAGAAACCACATTCTGTATCAAGGTATGAAGAAAGCTAAGCTTAAAACAACTGTACCAAAGTTTATATATCTGACTATACCAGGGGCGGACTTACAACTCATGGGACCCCGGGCAATAGGGGATCATGGGGCCCCTGTGTCCTTGCCCAAACTCAAAAAAGCTTATGAAAAAAGGTACCAGGGGCATCTCATGGGGCCCCCTACTGACCTCGGGCCCTCGGGGAGTGCCCGAGTTTCCAAATGGTCAGTCCACCCCTGGACTATACCC